ATAAAACAACAATAAGCCAACATAAAAATTAATAGAGAGTTTATTCACAGTATCCCCTGTTGGTTACACTATTTAAATTGTTTTTCTAAGGTTTCAATTCAACATCACAATGATAATTCAGTATAATTTGTATCATCTAACCATCAAATAGAAACTAACAACTTGTTTAACAACCAAAATCAACAAATTTCACAACAAAAATCATGTGATCATCAAAGAACGAGTAAACCTTATGAATACCCAACTAAATTTTTACCTCAATTTCAAAATAAAAACCAACACAAGAACAAAGTAAACGATTTACCTCAGAAAAATATAGAAATCGACTAGAAAGGAGCCTTGCAAATGCTTAATCACCTTCCTTGAAGCTTCGAAAATGGCGTTGTTTTACTCAACGGCGCCAAGCTTTTTTCGGAGAAATGATATTTTTTAATGCTTAGTTAATAACTTAAGTCACTCATTTTGCGCTTTCCCAATGTAATTTAACCTAAGTTAACCTTAACCAAGGTTAAAACTTAATCTATTTACCAGAATGACATTTACACTGCATATCATTGGTCCACCTGTCCAAACATACTCCTAAAGTTTGATTTTTTTACTGAAGCGTACTGAGGAAGCTTCTCATAATGTATAGAACATAATCTCTTATAAATTGGACATAATATAATCTTTAGTGGATATCATTTAGAAAATGCAGGATATCATTCAAAGTTTGTTTCATAAGTTTAAACATGTAATATAGTGTTTGTTATAAAGCTGATATCATTGAGTTGTTAAAGAATATCATATACTCTATAGAGGATTTCATACAGCTATTGGAGGATACATGAAAAACAAAGACATTTTAGGAAACAAATTGTGTTAGATTTCATTTTAGGATATCATTTATATGTTGCAGGATGTTAATCATATTTTGTAGGATATATCAGCTTTAACAAAATAATAAAACGACATTAAAGGATGTTATAAGGTATTTGAAGGTTTTCATCAAATTGTTAGAGGATATTAAAAACTATTTGGAAGATAGAAATAAAATTCATAAAAACTTGAACAAATATTTAGATAATTAATATTTCTAATTTATTAATTTAATGCTAACATCATAAAAAACAAAATATAAAATAACATCAACTTTATGAAATGTTATATTTTTCAATTATAATAAACTGCAAAACATTGAAAATAAGCTACAGATATCATCATCTATTTTCATTCTTTTTGGCTCCGTGGTTGGTTGGCTTGACTCTTCTCTTTTTCTTGTTGGCTTCTTCTTCCGCAAAAATTAAACGTAATCTATCAAGAAATTCAGCCCAGTCTTGCACTATGCCATTGTGAAAACCATAACCATTGTGCCTTATAATGTCATAAGAAACCCACCATTCATTTGAATTATGAATTTTTTTACTAGATCTGGTATCCAAAATTTATTATACCATAATTCATTATAATATTTACATACACAATTAATCATTCCCTACACTTTGAAGGTGCACCTAGGGAAAATATGCATGCATAATATCTCTTCAATTGATAGTGCTAGATGTGCATCTTCTAAGGCATCAATTAGGTGTGCAATTTGATTAGCCATCTAATCAAACAAAATAAAAATTAATTTCATAAAATTAAAATATATATAAATATAAATCATAACAAAACAAAATAAAATAAAGTAACAAATGTATTATCATAATACATAATAAAATTATACCTTTTGTAGTAGCAGTAGTTATATTCTTATCAAATTAATTTAAATTCTAAATGAAATAATTTTTTTTTCTGAATATAGTTTATTGTACACTGTGATTTCTTATATATAAAGTTTTGAACGTGAATTGGTGCAATGTTTTGCAAGAGGGAAAGTCATGACGTTCAAATATGTCTTTTCATTTACAATTAACCTTGGTTCTGGTAAATTCATTTCTTTTAATTCAATTAATTTTATGTTTGGTAAATGTTTTTACGTGTCTTTTGAGTGTTTATATTTTTTTGAGAATATACTCCCTCCGTTCCCATATAATATTTTGGACGTTTCAAAATGATGTACCCATATTAAATCTATTCCTTTTTTAATTTTATTTTATTTTCCTAATTTGGTCTTATAATTTCTAATCCCATTAGTGGATTGATGACATGGAAGTAATTAAATATTCTGATTGGTCATCAATCCCATTAAACATGCATTGTAATTGATGCTTTCCAAATAAAAAAAATCACAACAATTAATAAGATAGAACTAATTAAGCAATTTTTGTACTAAAATGTAAGATTCCAAATATTATTCATTCTCTTATTTTTTTGTGATTGATTCTATATGGGACTAACAAAGTGAAACGGAGGGAGTAATATTTTTTGGATATCTTATACTTATTAAATAATATGGTTTGTTCATGCTAGAATTTCATTGGTTTTATAGAATATTATTATTTATTTAATCTTGATGATATCTTATATTACATAAACGATGTTCTCTTTGTTGTGAAAGGATATCTTTTATCACACGAATAATTTCCTGTGTTCTGTTAATATTTTATATGTTAGTTAATTTTTTTCCTTTTATTAATTTAAAATATTATACGTACTGCTTAGGATATGTTTTTATGTTTTGAGGATATACTATGTGCATTTCTAGGATATAATATATTTATAAATTTAATGATATGATTTTTCATAAAAAGATATCATCCAGCCTATAAATTATATATTCTAGTATATAACTGATATCATCTAAGTAATTAAGGATATCATTTTGTTAAAAAATAATATCATAGAACAAATAAAACATATCATGAAATCACCAATAAAGATCAACAATGAAGAAATCACCATTGAAAGTCGTTACTAAGCTCATGGGTATAATTTGACAACCAAAATAAATGCTCATTTCATATATCTGAAAATTTTAATTTCATAGATTACGAAAATAAAACTTTAAATTTAGAACTTAAACAAAAAAATTAAAAAATAATAAAAAAACCCCAGAATCTTAATCTTTTTCATCTTCATCTTTTTATTTACTTGATTTCTTCTTCTTCATATTTTTCTTGATATCTTCTTCTTCTTCTTCTTCTTCTTCTTCTTCTTCTTCTTCAGATTTTGGTTATATTTTCTTTTGGATTTTTTCTTTCTTTTTCTCTTTGTTCTTCTGTTTTTCTTCTTCTTCTTTCTTTTTCTTTTTTTGTTCTATCTCGAAGTTTTCATGTTCTCTCTTCCTCTTCTTCAGTTCTTCGAATCTATTCTTTTTCACTTTCTCATAGAGCTCCATCAGTTGATCCTTCACTCTATCTTTTTTCGAGTAAATCATTTAGCTTTTTTTTTCCCATTTATCCATTCCATTTTCTTCTGGATCATTTGAAGAAGTAGAAGACTGAGAATTGTTTTCCATCTTTAGGAGAGAGAATATGTAAATAGGAAACATGCAAAAGGTGTGATAAATCATATCGTTTTATAGACCTTTAATTACTTTTTTTTATTTTAATTTTATATGCGTAATGTATGAGGAATTTTATTAAAAAAATGATTAAAAAAACAAAAAATTTATATTCATTGTCATAGAATATTGATTATATGAGGATATAACATATGCTTATGAGGATAGTATTTATATTTTACGTATATTGATTAACAAATCGAATATTGATTATATGAGGATATAACATATCGATGTAACATTTTATATTGCAGATATTGTATAAGTATTTTTATGATATCATTTGTGATGTTATGAAATATTTACCTTGTATGTTATACTCCCTCCGTTTCAATATGATAGTCCCATATAGTATCAATCGCATAAAATAAGAAAACAATAATATTTGGAATATAACATTAAAGTAAAAAATTATCATCAATAGTTTTGCCTTATTTAAATAGTTTTGATTTTTTTAGGAAACTGTCAAACATAAATGCATAATTCAAGGGAATAATTTTTTTTAATTAGAGTCATGTCATCAATTCACAATCAATTAATTAAGCCAACAAGAATTTAATATGTATAAAATAGGAAACAAAAACTAAGTTAAAAGTGGAATACATTCAATATGGGTAGATCATTTTAAAATGCCAAAAATAGTATATGGGACTAACAAATTGAAACGGAGGGAGTATCATTTAAGATTATTGATTTTCAAATGAGGATATGTTAAATTAATTTGCTGATGCAATATGTGTAATTGAGGATTTATTTAAATTATCATATATAAGAAATTATAACAAACAAAATACAGCATATCTTATTTATTTTATTAAAACATAATACATAATTAAAATTAATACAAATTAAAAGTACAACATCTTAAACACCATTTTCGGCTTCAGTAGGAAGCCTTAAATTACCGTTAACATAAAAAATTCTAATATAAAAAGTTGTGTGAATAAGATATTATTTCGATATTGTAGGATATAATTTGGTTATTGTAGGATATAATTTGGATTTTGTAGAATATTGTTAAATATATAACTGGGACATTGCTTAATTTTTTAAGTATATCATACAATCATCATAGGATATCATTCACTATTAAATAGAATATCATAAATATATCACTAGGATATACACTATTGTATGTTATTATCTAATATCATTCATTTTTGAAAGGATATGTTGTAAATAATTAAGGATATTTTGTAGTTATTGCAGGATAAATTAAATGTCATTTTAAAATTTTGATGTATATTATTTACATGTTATAAGATATTATTTGGTATTTGTAGGATATGCTGAAAAATAAAATATAGTCATTCAAGGATAAGAAAAAGTATTTGTTTTTATTTAGATGATATCATTTCGTCATAAGAGGATGTAGTGCTACTATTAAATGATATCATCTACTCTTTCTATAATAGATTGAAAGATAATATGTAGACGTTATATGATATAATTTAGTATTCAAAAGGAAAAATTTAAGTGCTTTGAATAATGTCATTTGAATAAAAATATCATTTTGTATTTAGAAATACACTATTATTAAATTAAATTCATGAAAAAAAATGAAGTACATCAATTAAAAAACAAAATTTCAATGCATTAATCATAACAATTAAATTGTAAATAAACATAAAAAACTATAGAACTCCCCTACACCAGCTTCTTCAACTAAAACATCATAATTATCAATCAATGCATCAAAACCATTCTTAATAAAACATTGAATGATCTTATTTTCAAAAGTGTTAATCTTCAGTTGCGCTTCAAATTCAGTATTATAAAGTCGTAGCTTAACATCAATTGATTTCCCAAGCTTGCTGAAATGTTTTTTTGCAAATTCTAAGGGAACATTCTGCATCAATAAAACAAAATTTTTCATATAAATAAAAGCTTTGCGATATCTTATATTTCTAACAAAAAATAATACATAGAAAATAAATAAACTATATTTAATATACAAAGAAGCCTTACTATAATTCCTTTTGAATGATATGATTTAGAAAAAAATGAAATTAAAACAATCCCCTTCACACTCATCTTGTATATTATCTGCCCAATCTTTTTCTTCTACCATATCTGATGAAGATCCGTGTAGTAAAGGCTTTCTTCCACGCCTTTTTCTGGTATTGTTACGGTTGTTAGCCATTCTTATGACATATATCCTTAATTACTCACTGGAAGAATTGATTATATATACAATAGTTATTAAACCTAAGTCAAAAATAAATTTAATAATAATAAATTATTTACATAAATGCTTTGACTTGAATATTATTAAAAGCATCTGATTGATAAATGAAAGCATAAAAAACGGAAGTTTGTTTGAAATTTTATGTAAAATCTTCTTATGATATTTACTAGGATTGTGAGGATATTATCAAATCAATATTTAAATATATTATTATTATATTAGTTAACACGTTTTGGTTCATAAAATGTACCCATTTAAGAAAATGACTTTTCATTATGAGGATATAATCTAGTATTTCGTCTTTATAGGATATTCAGCAGTTGTTGTAGGATATAGTCCAGTGTTTAGATGATTTCTTATTTTTTTTATGAGATTCAACTAATATTTTATGTTCAGTGGATATTATTTAGTCTTTGGAGGATATCATTCTGTATCAGCAATAGCATGTATTTTTTTTCATAGTATATTATCCAGTTTTTGCTTGATAAATATATCCATTTAAGGAAATAATTTTTCTTTATGAAGATATAATCTAGTATTTCGTCTTTACAGGATATTCTGCAGTAGTTGTAGAATATAGTCCAGTCTTTAGAGGATTTTTTTTTTTTTTTTATAAAATTCAACTAATATTTAATGTTTAAAGGATATTATCTAGTCTTTGGAGGATATCATTCTGTACCATCCACTTGTTGGTTGATAAAATATACCCATTTAAGGAAATTATTTTGTCGTTACAAGGATATAAACTAGTATTTAGTCTTTAGAGGATATTCGGCAATTGTTATAAAATATAGTCCAGTGTTTAGAGGATTTCTTTTTTTTTTTATGCAATTCAACTAATATTTTATGTTTAGAGGATATTATCTAGTCTTTGAATAATATCATTCTGTATCAGTAATACCAAGTATTTTTTTTTTCATAGGATATCATCCAGTTATTAATTGATAAAATATACCCATTTAAAGAAATAATTTTTCGTTATGAGGATATAAGCTAGTATTTAGTATTTAGTCTTTAGAGGATATTATTCACTCGTTATAGGTTATAATCAAGACGATATTATTTAATCTTTGGAGGATATCATTCTGGATCAGCAATAACAAGTATTTTTTTCCGTAGGATATCATCCAGTTGTTGTTTGATATAATATATTCATTTAAGGAAATAATTTTTCGTTATTAGGATATAAGCTAGTATTTTGTCTTTACAGAATATTCGGCAGTCGTTATAGGATATAGTCCATTCTTTAGAGGATTTATATTTTTTTTAAGATATTAATTTAATATTTTATGTTCTGAGGATATTATCTAATATTTGGAGGATATCATTCTGTATCAGCAATAACAAGTATTTTTTTTTCATAGGATATCATCCAGTTGTTGGTTGATATAATATATCGATTTAAGGAAATAATTATTCGTTGTGAGTATATAAACTAGTATTTCGTCTTTATAAAATATTCGACAGTCTTTATAGGATATACTCTAGTATTTAGAGGATTTATTATTTTCTTTATAAGATTCAACTAATATTTAATGTTTAAAGGATATTATCTAGTCTTTGGAGGATATCATTCTGTATTAGTAATACCATTTTTTTTCATAGGATATCATCTAGTTTTTGGTTGATAAAATATACCTATTTAAGGAAATAATTTTTCGTTATGAGGATATAAGCTAGTATTAAGTCTTTAGAGGATATCATTCACTCGTTTTAGGTTATATTCAAGTGGTAGAAAAATTTATGTTTGTAGTGTAAAAACAAATAATAAGGTTTTTCAGGATATCATACATTTAATGAAAGATAGGTAAATGTATGTAATTTTAAATTATTAATTAATGTTGAATGATATAATATTTCCTTTTAAGGATAGCTTATAATTTATTTTTTAAAAGATACAATTAAATCATTTGAGGATATCAGTCTACAATGGGCCTTAAAAAAAGGGCTTTTTAAATCTCGATGGGCTTTACAAAGAAGCGTCTTTTTTAATAAAGCTGGGCTTGATAAACAATCGCCTTTTTGTTAATCGGGCTAACGAAGCCCGACTTTTACGGGCTTTAAACCCGTGCCTTTTTGTTTAATTGACTGCATGCTTTGACGTACGAGCTGTTACGTGCGACAAGACGCACGTAATACGCTCTCCAATCTATAATATTTGTAAACATTAACTACCACATATTTTAGTGTAATCTTAGCAAAATATATAAGTATACTCATACCATGACTTGATGAGTCTTGTCACCCATCAATTCAAATTCATCATTGCCCACGCATACAGAATGAGTGCTCTCGTAGACTTCAGCAGTATTTGGTAAAATTTCATCCTTCTTCTTTGCCTTGTACTAGAAGAAGTTGTTAGCACTAAATAAATACAACAAAAAATAGGAGGACATGGACTACAGAGCAATTGTAATAAGAATCATTTATAGTCATCTCTTAGTAGCGAAAAAGTTTCTAGCTACTTGCTTCTTATATTAAAAATCATAAGTTTGCCACTAAAATTATACACTTACCAATTTTTTTTAACTCCTTGAGGAGTAGATACGCTACCTTGGCGATGGCAAGGGTAAAACTTCTCTAATGTTTGGCCAGATAACTGATTATCTCTTGCTTGGTTAGAACGTTTCACAAAATCAGGATGCTTGCACTTATTTATGAATTTAGCTCGAACAGTGTCACTCATGAAACCAACTTCCTTATGGAGAGCCATTATGTTAACTTGGTTCAATGTACCCCTAAGTCCGTCCCTGACTTTTTTGTCTAAATCTCTTCTAGCCTTAGCATTGTACCCGGGCCTCCAAGTATATGTACACTGCACAGATTTTACATGTAAAGTTTATAATTTTAACTCAACATAGCATATTATACATAAGTAATCTCTATTTTTTTTACAAGTACTATCATTAATGCAATTAAGGAATGTATTAATTTTTGTAGTGTGCTTGTATGTAACAGAATATAAGAACCTGTTAATTTTGATTTATTAACAAAGAGCAACCTAACTTCCATCAAGTCATAAAAGCACACAACCCTTCGATTCTCCACCTCTTCAATACAATCATTATATAAGATAATTTTAAAATTCAACGATAGTTAGCACAATAAAGATTCAATTAGATTCTACTATGACACTAATCTTAAATCAATGAAAGTTAAATTACAAAGAGTAATAGTATGTTGTACAAGAAAAAAGGTAGTTACATTTTCCAAGATAAAACCTTTTTTTTATATTTTGTTCACCTCTGTCTCTCCCTCCACTCTCCACAATTGTTATTTTTGACCATGATATGACTTGTCATCATCTCACTTTCATAATCAAAATCCATAAAATCTTGTCAGGCATAATCCTTGAACCGAGATTGACAAACTCTTTTAACAAGAACACATAGTACGGATAGCAAGGTTGGTTAAGGTTTGTGAAAAGAGTAGGTAAGTAAGATTTATCCTATCAGACATCTTAGTCTGGTCTTACCCTGGCTGCTCCCATGTCCATATCCAGATCATCTCAGGTCATTGTGGATGTGGTATTACAACAGATTTCAAGAATAAGGTTTTCACCCCTTGATTTAACTTTTCCTACTTAGGGCATCCTTAACGATCCAAGATTATTACTTTTCGCACCATTTCAGACTCACATTACCACCTTTATTTTTCAGTAGTTCAAGGACAGATAGACAAGTGATCAAGCTGATAGAATAATGGCAAATCTAAGTTCTAACCAAACTTTTAGTCACAAAAAAATAGTGGATAAGGTAGTGTTTATAGCACCCCTTTTACTCTACAAAAATAGTGGAAGATATCCAAAAATATATGCTGACTGCATCTAGCAACCTGAACACGTAGGTCTACAGGGGCTACAACTATATTAAGCACTCAGAAAATGTAACGAATGCCTTGAGCAACAACAAGAACAAGGGACTAATCGCATATGAGCGAAGGAAGAGGAAAGGGCAGTAGTAGGGACCATTAGGGAATGAGGTAGGGGAGCAGCTACCAAATTAGTGAGCAGTTAGGAACTGATGTGAAGGCTGGCAGCATCCTCCCACATTGTGACAGCTGCAATATTTGTTATCTTTCTTTTTTTGGTTGATTTTGTACATATAAGTAGGGGGGTAGGAATGTGCTAGGTAGATGGGATTTTGAAAACACTCGAGTGCAGAGCATTATGCCCTCAAGGTACTATTAAGAGAGTGGTGGCCTCAAGCTTCCTTGTGTGCAAGATTTGATTTTTATTAATCAATGAAATAGCTGCCTACTTCCCTAGAATTCATCTTTCTATTGCTTTATTTCTAATATTACAACTCTTAACTAGTATGTTACAGAAAATCACAAGAATATCTTTGAACAAGCTTTAACAAGCACCACATCACAAGAATAGCTTTAAACAAACGGGGTTAAAATCAACTCATCCTACACAGAACTAAAGAGCAGAGGTTTGTTATTTTCCAACATTTGATAAAATAATCTGTAATTTGCAGTGGGTTGTTACAACCATTGTAGACTTCTAATGAGCCGATACACTATCGTAGGTTATGATGCATCTGATCACATGGCTAAATCTACTATGCTCTAATATGAAATACTTTCCACAGAGAATAGGCCATGCTTTCCACAACGAATTAGAGACTCAAAGCTAATATTCAAACATGCAACTTCACTAGTTTAAGAGCAATGAAGACAAGAAAATCTCAAATGCTAGACATACCTTAAACTCAGTGAACTAACGATCTTTTGTGCAACCACTAACATTTCAATAAACTTCTTAGCTTGAGGATTAGGTTCTTCTTCAACATTCTGAATCTTTTCATGCAATGGATCACCATCAACTTGACCAAGTACATCAATGATCATGTCAACATAAGGATTCAATGGCTCATGTGATGCTTCTAAAGAATCACAATCCTCTCCATGACAAACCCATTCATAGTAGTCATTAAGAAATCCTTTTTTTTATATAAATGCTCTCTTACACTTTCAGTATCTAAAAAAACTAACATTTTTACACTTTGAACAAGGGCATTTGATCTTTGAAGATTCTTGAAAATCACGGTGTTGTTTTGTTAACTTAATAAACCCTTGCACACCAATTGTGAACTCTTTTCTTTGTAGTCGACCTTTTAATCTCTCATAAATCCATTTTCGATTCAATTTGTTGATCTTAACTATGAAACGACATCGTTAATCATACACACATATGTAATATAGTCTTCTTATGTATGTAATTTATTCTTATTATATATGTAATTTTTTTTTGGTAAATTAGAATTTTATTACGAAAAGGAGTTCAAGAATACAACTTACAAAAGCTAAGTTGTACACCCAAGCTACACAAGTCTAAAAGAAGGCAACCAAACCCCAAACAGTTCCTATTTCTCAAAGTGCCACCTTCTAGGAAGGTTTCACCATAAGAAAAAAGGAATAGCCTTATCCTCAACTTCAAGCCACCTTCCAGGAAGAGTGCCTAAAGAGGGAGACAAGAAAGCAAAAACTAAAAGGATCCCTACCCAGACTCAACAACTGATCAAAATTTGCAAAAGGACTAGACAACAGGGTAGTATACTAAAACTAAATCAAACCAAACTGGACTCGGCTGAAGAAACCAGCAGGATCAGACAAAAACACCTAAACCTAAAACTCTAAAAAAAGCAAACAAGACTATAGGGACAAAAATCTGATCTAAAACAAACAAAGCAACAAAACAGGCTACATAGTCAAATATTTGCTACAGTAGGGCACCTGCAAGCAATGTGAAAAATGATATCTCTGACTAGAGTCTCAATAGTCTTGCAGTTCCCAGTAAAAAGAATAGCATTCCTTTGAATCCAAATGCTGTAGACAGTTTCAGTAAAAGCCACTTGGATCACCTTGCTTTTTACTCTGGGATTTCTATAAACTTTTTTCAGCCAATCAATCTCCCCATCAAAATTCTAGACAGGTTTGACAATATGCAAAATGCTCAGAACTTTACTCCAAACTTGTCTTGAATAATCACAATTAAAGAACAAGTGTTGCACACTCTCATTATCTTTTAAACACAAGAAGCACCTAGGATCACAAGGATGCGCCATTGTAGCAGTCTATCCTTAGTGACTAGCCTATTCCACAAAGCTAATCTTAGAATAAACACACTTTTAGGAGTTTCCAAGTTGTTACAGACAACCCTTTTCCAAGGAAGCTTAGGAACTTGAGGTTTAATAGCAGTATAAAGCTTCCTTATTTTTAATTTGTTGCCCTGAATTATGCGATTCCATCCCCCTAGATCATTCACAATATCTCAGCAGCTCAGAATTTTCTTCAAAAACCAGGAACATTTACTAGGGACAAGGGCAGTCCAACAGTGTCTAAGCTTGAAATAGTTGATATGCACCCATTTTACCTTGAGATTATCAGCCTTATGAGCAATATCCCAAAGTAGTTTAATTTGTTGACAATAACTTTGTTCTACTTAGGGAGAGAAAGCAAGTTCTAGCCACCATAGACCTTAGGGAGACAGACATGATTCCAAGCAACCAAAGATTTTCTAGCAGAGGAACCATTCCAAAGAAAACTCCTAAACCTAGCTTCAATCTCCTTCAGAATTTTCTTTGGCAAAATAAAATTTGAGCCTAGTAAGTCTGAATACCAAAAAAAACACTTTTAACTAATTGGAGCTTCCTAGCATTAGATTGGTGTTTAGCCATCCTTCCTTGAATTCTTGCAGTTACTTTCTCAACATTAGGTCTACACTGAACAATGGTAAACTTCTTAGAAGAACGAGGAACCACAAGATACCTAAAAGGAATAGACCCTTGGGAAGCTCTAAGAAGATCCCTAAGCTTAATCTGAACATCAGTAGAAATCCCACCAAAGTAAACTTTACTCTTATCAAAGTTAGTAGTAAATAAAGCCCGAAGCTTTAGAAAATTTAGAATAAGCCTGGAAGAGAAGCTTGACAAACACACTATCAGCTCTAGAAAACATCAATAAATCATCAGCAAACATCATAAGAGTTAGACTTAGTTTTTCACATCTAGGATGTAAATTTAAGTCAAGATTCAATCTAAGCTCAAAAAGGCATCTGGAGAGGTATTCCATACCTATAGAAAAAAGAAAAGGGGACATGGGATCACCTTGTCTTAAACCTTTCTTAGCTTTAAAGGGAGGGGTAGGAATACCATTGATGAGGATAGAATAAGAAACAGAGGTGAGACACTTCCAAGATCCAACTAATAAAAATCTGAGGAAAACCAAGCTCATGCAGAACAGAAATAAAAAATCCCCATTCAACTGAATCATAGGCTTTCTTCAGAGCCACCTTAACCATACACCTACGGGAAATGAATTTGAGATAATAACCTTTTATCAACTCAGTTGCAAGAAGGATGTTATCCCCAATGTGGTTCCCGCTTGAGCATCATCAATGACCTCACCAATGATAGCAACAAGTCTAGTAGTGATAATCTTGGAAATAAGCTTATAAACCACAGTACAACAGGATATAGGCCTAAAATCCTTAACATGAAAAGCATTAAGGATCTTAGGAAAAAGAGTATTAGTTGTGCAATTCCACTGATTAGGAAAAACTTCATTATCAAAGAAATATATAAAACTAGTATAGATATAATATTTCACAATATGCCAAGCTATCTTGAAAAAGAAAGAATTAAAGCCATTAATACAAGGAGCCTTAGTGTTATCAATTCCCTTAAGATCATAATCAATTTCAACATGAGAAATTCGATGGATAAGAGAATTCTAAGTAGTAGAAATAAGCTGCTTACCTCTCCTTTTAGTGACAAGATCAACAGCAGGCAGCCAAGAAGTCTTAGTCCCTAAAAGAGACTTATAAAAGGAAATTATCTCATTGGAAACAACATTAGGATCCTTGAGCAGCACCTGATTAGAATAAAAAATAGAATCAATTCTATTCCTTGCTTGTCTAGTTTTCATGACCATGAAAAAATAGTGAGAATTTAAATCCCCAAGTTTAATCAAATTGAACCTTGATTTTTTCTTGAAGATGCTCTCTTGAATATCAGAGTGCTTAACAACCTCAATAGCTTCAGATTCCTTAGCATATAGCTCCAAGTAATCATTATTCCGAGCCATCAAATTTTGAGTCTCAAGAAGCTCATTATGAGCTTGATCAATTTTCTCATCAATATTACCAAAATGCTTGTTGTGCAAGGACTTGATACTAGCTTTCACAACTTTAAGCTTCTGCCAGACAGAGCCACCTGATGACTGTCATTTATGGCACTCATTTAGTTCTCTTTGGGATGAATTTCATGCTTTTCTATAGAGCTTTTACTTAGCTTTTCCTTGATTTTACTCTTTATTTCTTTTAGTTTGCATTTTCTTAGTTAGATTTCTTTCTTTATGCATTTCTTGGTTTATTTTGTTATTTTCTCTTTTATTTGCTTGTTTTCCATTATTTTTCAGGTTAAGGTCGTTATCCAAGTTTCCCGAGGCATCTTCCTGAGTTTAACATTCATTAGGATGCCTAGTGGTCTCCATTTGAAGCTCGAGCATGGAGAAGTGCAAGTTCTTAAAGACCTTGAGCTGTGCTTTCAAGTCGTGGGGGCATGATTTCTAATCTTGAACCCGCAAACATGGAGTTTAGAAACTGCAAGGTTCCGTGTTTATCAAGAGCATTAAGTGGAACGCATGAGAAGCATCGGGATGATAGGGAAGATAGCTGCTCTGTTCCCAGGCGCGGCGCGCGCGGCTATGGCGCGGCCGCGCAGTTTGGTGGCGCGGACGCACCTCTCTCGGGAACGGGCACTCTTCTCTCGGGCGCGGGCGCACCTTCTCAGGTCCCTGTTCTGTACCCAGAATCGCGCGGCCGCTCTCTCTTGTAGTTGGCCGCGCCTATTAGGGTTTATTTGGGACAATCTAACTAATTTCTCTTAGTTAGTTTTACTATTTATAGATTTTCTTTCTATTTTTATAGAGAGTTGAGTTTTTCAGAAATTAGAGTACAATTAGGCTAGATTTTTAGAGAGCGAAACTCTAATTTGTAGAGAGAGAAGTTCTTGATTGAAGATTGAATATTGATGATTCTAAGTGTTTTTCTCCCTTGAATTGAAGCAAGTTTGTAAGGATCTCTTTATTTTAATGCAATCTTTGTTTTGATCTCAATTTTTTTGTTAATTTTTCATGTTGATTGATTTTTGAATTGGTATATTTTTGGATTAATATGATGATAATGAATTTGTTTCTTAGTTTAGTTTTGATGATGATTTCCATGATTAGTGAGTAGTTTTCTTGCTAAGGAAATGGTGAAGCATAAATGAGTAATTAATTTGTGCTAATTGGGGGAAATTGATGGAGTTGATGTTGTGATTAAATTGGTTGAATGATTAAGTGCATGTGTGTGTTAAATTTAGGAGTGATCAACCTAAGTTTCTCATACTAGATTGCATTGTAGGTTCACATTGATACGAAAAATTGATTTGTGACTTGCATTTGTCGATTGAGTAGGTTTGCAAGTTTCCTAGCTAGAGTCCCTCGTAGTTGGCGCTAGTTTGACCTCTAGGAGATTAGCCTACCATATTCTCTTGATTGCTTAATCAATTTTCCTTCGCAACACTTGATTTAGTCATCTCCAATCCCAATTAGTTGAATTGATTACGAGTTTATGTAGATCCATACCCTAGTACTTGATAAGTTTGATTTTCATTTAGATTGTTTGATTGGTAGAGTAGACACACCTCACCTCATTTTGCTTCGAAATAGCTTAGCTTTAACTCTAGCATTTACCTCCCATTCCTAGTGGTTCGACCCTCGACTTACTCTATGCTTTGTGTAGGGGTGTGTTAAGAGATTATAAATTTTGTTTTGACCAAGGGTAGATTAGTTTTTCAACGACCTAGTCTCGCCCTAGATAAAAAATGGCACCGTTGCCGTGGAATGGCGTAGATGATTGCTATTGTTGTTGAGTCTATTTCACCTTATTTGCAAAAACACAAAAAGATTTTGTTCTTTAGGCTACATTTGTAGCCGTGCTTTTAATAATTTTGTTTGAGATGGTGTGCAAGTGATCATGGGAGAATCTTAAAGGGTCACATTAAAGGATTAGGTACTCTAGGTGCATACAAGTATGAGAGAGGGATTGCTCCATTATTAATCCCAGATAGTGACTTTGAAATCAAGCCGGCAATGATAACTTTTATTGAAAGGAGGCAATATAATGGAGGAGTTAATGAGAGCCCCCTAAACCGTCTTAAGGAATTCGAGAAGTATTGCAATACAATTAAGGTGAGCGGGGTAGCTCAAGAATTCATAGGGCTTAAGTTATTTTCTTTTTCTCTTATTGGAAGAGCTCAAGAGTGGCTACATAAGGAAGTGAAGCCTAATTCTTTGAGAACTTGGGATGAAGTCACCAAGGAATTCCTTTCCTGTTTCTTCCCTCAAAAGAAAACGACAGAGCCAAGAGCTTTGATTCAAGGTTTCAAGAAAAAGTCTAGTGAAAGTCTTTATGAAGCATGGGAGAGATACAAGGAATACCAACGTGAGTGTCCTTATCATAGAATCCCCACTTACCTAATCATTCAAATTTTTTATGGCGGTTTGAGTCCTCAAGGGAGAGCAAGTCTAGATGCCGGAACCGGAGGCCCAATCATGAATAAGACCGAGGAAGAGGTTATAGGTATCATTGATGATGTAGTAAGAAACTAAATGGAATGGCAAGATGGTGAGAAGGAGTTGATAAATAAGAGTAGTACAATGGGATACTCAATGGAACAATTCAACTCTATCAACAATTTGTCGACTCAAATTTCGGATTTAGGAAAGTAGGTAGTTTCTATCAAGTGTAAGCTCGAGAACACGACCTCACAAGCACCAATTATTCCCTCCCAAATTAAGGGGAGAGGTACTCCTTCCTCTAACTCTCTTCCTTTTTCTTGTTCCATGATTAGAGAATGTTGGCTTTGTGATTTGTGTGGAATGAATGACCATGATGCTTATTTTTGCCCTAATGTTCCTTGTAATGAATATGTTGAGATTGAGAATAAACATGTGAACTTAGTTGCTAATAACAATGTTGGGCCTAGATTTGATGCTCAAAGGAATGTTGGAAATAGGAATTATCACAACCAAATGAACTATGACAATTATAACCAAAATGGCGGTTATAGAAACCATGGAATCCATGGGAATTGTGGTAGCTATAACAACCATAGTTATAATGGTCAAGGTCATGGCTAAGGATATGGGGACTATAACCAAGGATATGGTAACCATAATCACGATAGTGGCCAAAATCAATGAAGAGGTAATTGGAACAATCAAAGTAGGGGAAATTTCCAATTGAATAGTCAAAGAGATTCCCCACTTGGATTTGTTCTTAATACCCAAGAGCATAGTGATAATTTGTATGATCAATCATTTTCCTCTAGGAGTTTCTTGGATGGTGTCATAGAGAAGCAAGCCAAATTGTTAGACACCTACATGACTCTAAACAATGAGAAATTCAATGACATGTTAGCTTGCCATAAGGGGTTAGAGAACCAAATTTCTCAATTGGCTAATGAATTTAAGGAAATTACAAATCTTTCTTCTTTGTCTTCACAAAGTTTAGATCTTAAGAGCCCTATGAATGCTATTGTGACTAGAAGTGGTAGGGTCCTTAAGAGCGAAATCTCTAAGAAGAGTGATGATAAAGATAGTCTTAGCAATGGCCAAATTGAGAATGAGGGAGAGGAGAATACTTTAGTTAAGGAAGTCAATAAGGAACAAGTTGAGAAGGTGAAGGAGAAAGAAAGATAAGTTTACAAACCTAAGCTCCCTTACCCCCAAAAGTTTAATAGGCACAAGCTAGACGAGCAATTTGGAAAATTTATAGAGATGCTTGGACAACTTCATCTTACTCTTCCTTTTACCAATGTGATAAAACAAATGACAAATTATGCAAAATTCCTTAAGGAGATTTTGAGTGGAAAAAGAACTTGAGATGTGATGGAAACGGTTAACTTGACCGAAAATTGTAGTGAAATCATAATGAACAAAATTCCACCTAAGTTGAAGGATCCCGGAAACTTTTCTATCCCTTGTGCTATTTATAAAATGCAAATTGATAATGCCTTGTGTGATTTAGGAGCTAGTGTTAGCATTATACCATACTCGGTATATCAAAGACTAGAGAAGGGAGAACTTTTACCTACCAACATTGCCTTACAATTAGCCGATAGATCAATTAGGATCCCAAGGGGAAAGGTAGAGGATGTTCCCTTAAGGGTAGGAAAGTTCATCATTCCAGTTGATTTTGTGGTTCGTGACATAGATGAGGATTCAACAATTCCTATTATTCTCGGTAGACCATTTCTTGCTACTACAGGTGCTTTGATTGATGTCAAAAGTGCTAATATTTCACTTAAAATTGGAGATGAGGGAGTTGAATTTGATTTGAATGAAAGTATGAAATATCCTTCTTCATCTCTTGAGAATTGCATGAGAGTTGAAATCTTAGATAATCTTGTACATTCAATGCATGAGCACTTGCTCACAACTAATGATCCTCTTGAGTGTGTTTTGTTGAACAAGGAAAACATAGGTGCTCCTAGCAAGGACATGGCTTTGTATGAGAGCTTGTTAGAATGAAGCGTTGAGGGAAGTGATGAGCAAATTTGCATGAAAATTTCAAGCCAAGAGGCTTTGCAAGCGGCTTCGATCAAGGAAGGTAAAGGGGTTCCTATGGTAGAGCTCAAACCTTTACCATCACACCTAAGGTATGAATTCGTAGGCTCAAATTCTACTTACCCCGTGATTGTTAGCTCATCTTTGAGTAAAAACCATGCTCAAGTGTTATGTAGTGTTTTGAGAAAGCACAAAGGTGCTTTGGGTTATACCATTGATGACCTTAAGGTATAAGCCCCGCTTTATGTACACACCACATAACCCTTGAGGAGATTGCCCTTCCTTCTATCAAATGACAACGGAATTACATCCTCGAATGGGGGAGGTAGTGAAGAAAGAGATTACTAAGCTTCTAGATGCGGGAATCATATTCCCCATCTCAAGCTCTAGATGGGTCTCAGCCGTTCATGTCGTTCCAAAGAAGGGAGGCATGACCGTTGTCAAGAATGAAAAAGGTGAGCTAATTCCAACAAGGACGGTCACCGGTTGGCGGATGTGTATAGACTATAGACGTCTAAAGACATCCACTAAGAAAGATCATTTACCCCTTCCTTTCATTGATCAAAAGCATGAAAGACTAACGAGGCACAAGTACTATTGTTTCCTTGATGGTTACTCAGGATTTTTCCAAATTCCTATTCATCCCGATGACCAAGAGAAAACTAATTTTACTTGTCCCTATGGTACCTTTGCTTATAGGAGAATGCCATTTGGCCTTTGCAATACTCCTGCCACTTTTCAACGGTGTATGATGAGTATCTTTTGAGACATGTTGGAGGAGGAGATGGGGGTATGGATGATTTTTCCGTAGGTGGAGTTTCCTTTGAAGCATGCCTCAAAAATCTTGAAAAGTGTTTGGCAAGATGTGAGAAAGTGAACTTGGTGTTGAATTGGGAAAAATGTCATTTCATGGTTGAAGAAGGAATAGTCTTGGGCACAAAAGTTCCCACAAGGGCATAGAGGTTGACAAGACAAAGATTGAGGTTATCAAAAAGTTGCCACCTCCGATCAATCTGAAAGATGTGAGATCATTTTTGGGCCATGCCGGGTTCTATAGAAGATTCATTAAATATTT